GTTTTTGAAGATGTAGATTAAGATGAAGAACACCTGTTTTCAATGTGTATAAAAGAACAGTATCATTGATATGCTGAAAGTGATCTATTTCTGGTCAATGTGATCAATGTCCCGAACTTTGGCTTCAGACTCTGAGCGGGCTTCGTACCCAAAACTACTGTATGAGAAGAACGGATCGGCTCCTTCCGACGACTGACATTTTCACAAACATTACCCATGCCATTTGATCGTGCAAGACCGTGAATATTAATTTTGGAGGCATAAGTGATGTCGTAGCTTAGCTCAATATTAGACAAATTTTATCGGTGTATTATTTAGTGCAAGTTTGATAGATGGTAATATTTTGGTGCATTTATGTGTAAACATGAGTTAAAACTTTCAGTTGGGAGGCCGAACTCGAGAAACGTTTTTCCGGTAATTAGAAAGAACCTTTTTATCTAATTGAAATAGCTTATGAACTACATATGCATGGTCTCGGCCGTGACATGCGAACTTGAGTTTTAAAGCATGAAGAAATGTTTTGATTTGCGGACTTTGAAATTGCCTAACCCATTCAACGAATTAGAAGAGTACATCAATTGAGAGATAATTTAGAAATCGAAGGGACAGGTAAAACAGTGCTTCTTTTCAGACTGTGTAATTATATTGGTCAATGGCAATGCAGCAGACAATTGCGTGATTATACGGAGTAGATCAAGAAAGAAATCGGTTATAATGGTGAGGTCGCATATGAAATAACGTAACGACAGGCTACTTCCCTCTTTCGACAAAAATGAGTGCATCGATCAAAGCTAAATATCACTCTGCGGATGTACGATTGTAATACATAATTTCAATGAATAGGCTAGTAGGAGGCTGACGTTCTGCAGTTACGGTAGTGTTGGAGGATTTAGTGATTGGGGAAAACTAACGCAAAACCTGATTCGATGATGTGATAGTTGAGTATGTTACCAAAATCATAAAGCTCCTATCCGCACCATAGCCTTGTTCAGATGCGTAATTCCCCTCATATGAGGCCGTCTCAAACTTCACCGTTTACTGCTCTTCTGGTAAATTGCTGAAATGCGCATTTTCAGCTGCTATGTGGGAGCCCTTCTGTCAAATCAAAATCAGCACTCTTGAACGCTTGCATAAAA